CCTCATGGTAAGGCCAGCCCTGGCCCCAGGCCTCAATCCACTAGAGGTAGGTCAAAAGCTGATGAGATGTTTCCATTCCGCTTCCTTATCCAAAGGGAGTCTTTCCACTGACTTCAAGAGCTTTGGATCAGGCCCCATGTGCCCTCACTAGAGCTGGTCGCAAAATGGATTTTATGTCCCCCGCAAAATGTCGAGATTTTGAAATTTTTCATGAAACAAAATTCCCAATTGTTGTTTTTGTTTTGGGTCAATCTAAACATTTCATTTACATTTCAACCCTTTTAAAAGATTTTTAAAAATTTCTTGTATGTAAAATAAAGTAAATGTCTAAACAAAAAAGTCAGTTTGAAATGAAACATCAAATCTTTTCATTCTGAACATGTCTAATCAATGTTTTCAATTTTTCCCCTCAATTTTTTTCATTAATTTTTTTTGGTCAAAATCTATATGATTTTGAGGAAGAAAATTTTTTCACCAAAATGGAATTTTCTGATGGAAAATTGTTCTGACAAAAATTTCTAACCAGCTCCACCCTTTGCCTATTCCTGTAGTATAGCCATTGCTTAGCGATATGTCTTACATAGCAAGACATCTACAGTACCTCTTGCTACAGTGTCTTCTAACTTTTCCTGTCTCTGTAGATCACCATCTGACGCCAACCTCCACTGAGATGGCACCCAAGAAGAAAAATCCCAAGAAGAACAAAGTGGACAAGGGCGAGGATCCCCCGGCCCATGTGATGGTGGAGGACACTTTGCTGGATATCGATCACCTCAACCACTTGAACGGTCTGTATGAAAATGTCTCCAATGGCTTCCGCTGCACTGCCACAGAGGTCAGGAACCCCAACCATGGAGGCAGCCTGCTGGAGGAGATGAGTCAAATGCGCCAAAAGCAGTTCCTCTGTGACCTCACCATTGCCACCAAAACCAAGTCCTTCGATGTCCATAAGCTCGTCATGGCTTCATGCAGCGAGTATTTCCACAGCCTGCTGAAGAGAGATCCCAACTTGCCACAAGTAGAACTCAACGATGTCTCCCCTCTGGGCTTGACCACCGTTATCACTTACGCCTACACCGGTAAGCTGAATCTCTCCCTGTACACCATTGGCAGCACCATCTCAACCGCCAGCCGCCTACAAATGCGTGCTTTGCTCAACATGTGCAGTGACTTCCTCATTCAGGAGATAAACGTAGAAAACTGCATGTATATCGCCAACATCTCGGGGACGTACAACCTCAACCAGACCAAGGACGCCACTCGAAAGTTCATCCAGGAAAACTTCCTGGAGTTCTCGGAGACTGAGCAGTTCATGAAACTCACCTTTGACCAGCTGAAGGAGCTGCTGATTGATGATGGTCTACAGATCCCAAATGAGGTCATTGCCTTCCAGATTGCCATGAAATGGCTCGAGTTTGACCCTAAGCGAGTCACATATGCTGCCAACCTCCTGAGCAACATTAGATTTGGCACCATATCAGCTCCCGATTTGGTCAACCATGTGCAACCAGTACCACGGATGATGCAAGATCCTGAGTGCCACAGGCTGCTGGTGGAGGCTATGAATTACCATCTGCTTCCTTACCAGCAAAATACCCTTCAGTCCAGAAGAACCAAAATCCGTGGAGGCCAAAGGGTGCTAGTCACAGTTGGTGGCCGTCCAGCTTTGACCGAGAAAGCTCTTAGCAGAGAGATTAGCTACAGGGACCCAGATGGAAACTGGAACAAGATGGCTGAGATGCCAGCAAAAAGTTTCAACCAGTGTGTCATTGTGATGGATGGGTTCCTCTATGTGGCAGGAGGGGAAGATCAAAACGATGCTAGGAACCAGGCTAAGCATGCAGTCAACAGTCTGTGCAGGTAACAAGAATTTCCTCAAGGCAAGACAGTTCCCATGAGAGTGCATTTCAAGTACTCAGTTTACAAGCCTGTGGCTGCATACGTACCTGCCACAATCATCAATGGGGTTTGAACCTGAGATCTCAAATGCAGGCCTCTATCACATAAGCTAAAGGAGAACTCCTTTTGCTGTGCATGAGTAATAGGTTGTTATAATCTTTGGGCCCGGCCCTTAGGGACAGATAGGATTACACGCATTAAGCAACAGCATATTCTGTCATCATTTTTTCTGAGGATATTTTTCAGAAGAGTAAATGAGCAGGAGGAAAATACAGGCTAAACCAATCAGAAATATCTATTATACACACATAGCTCCAAGAGCAGATAGAGTGAAATACTGCTACGTTAAGGACTATCCCATCAGAGAAGCAGTGTAAACCAGAAGAGTGGGCACTGGAGTGGGTGACAAAAGACCTGAAATCTATCCCCAGCTCTGCCATTGATCTGCTGTGTGACTTGGCCGAGTCACATGGCCTCTGTTTTTCCTCCCACCCTTTGTCTGTCTTACCTACTTAGATTGTAAGCTCTGTGGTGCAGGGAACGTCTCTTACTATGTGTATGTACAGCTCCTAGCACAACTGGGGCCCTGATCTCAGCTGAAGCCTCCAGGCTCTACCATAATACAAATAAATAATAAGAACATCCGTTATTTAGTCAGACAGTTAATGATACAGGTCCAGAAAGCAAGAGCAGCTTTCATGTAATTTCTCTGCCTTTTTGTGGCCCTTCAAGGTTATCTTTTCTATTCTGGCTAGAGATTGCTCAAATCTATATATAAATTATCAGTTTCCATTCTTTAGCTGATTCCGAGTTTGGCAGAATTAGCTTAAAAAAAACTAAATTCACCCTCTGTATAATTTCTATTGTTTGTCTTCTTTCTTTCTTCTTCGTTGCATAGTTTAAGTGCAGGGTTTGGGTTTCTGGAAAGTTCTTATGAAACATGTCATGGGACTGTGCGGGGATTATTATTAACAGAGGAGAACTGTAACCCTGGCAACACCAAGTGGAGAATGTTGTTGAAAATCCAGACACACAGTTGGGGTTGGGCTTGCACCCAGGGATTCAGAATAAAGAACGTGGATGCTACGAAGGAAAACCAGCACAGTTAATAGCATTTTGCCTCCCAGAAATCTGTGTTCAAGTTTGCCTTCCTGACATGAGTTTATTGGTCTCAGTCTAATCCCTCTGAGACATTGTCCCCAGATCACCAAACCATCACAGAGTTAGGACCAGTTGCTAGCCTCTGCCAGGGAGAGAATGTGAGAAAGAACCCCCTCACGGGACAGATGTCAATCATGTCTTCATGCACTACTAGCAGGCTTTCAAATACTACAGGGATGAGGACAGAAGAACCCCTCTAGAATAGAATAGGTCTAAGGATTGGCTTGGAAGGGCTTCTTATAGGTCAAGATACAGTGCTAGAAGCTTTTGGGGCTCAGGATTGGGAGGGCAGGCTAGCCTAGGTCAGGAATACACAGGGGATACACTGCAGGGCAAGCAGCATGTTCAGAGCCTGCCTGGCCCAGGCCATTCACGACCACTGAATTCATTCTGCACCATGTATTTTTCCTGCAGCTGAGAAAGGCCTCAGGATTCCACCCGTCAGGTCTCCTCCTTTCTATTTCTAGCCTGTATCTTATTCAGCATTTCTGGCATTGCCAGACTGCCCCTGGGATTGCTTTCCGGGTACAGTAACAGCAATGCCACCTGCCTGCGGGGGCTCAGGTTCGCACGGCAGCCGTTTGCCTTGCAGCATGTGCTCAGCTTTGCGCTGCAGGGACACGCGGGGGATGTGACGTAGGAGCTGTGGCTTGAGAGATGCACGAAGATCCGTAACTTGTCGTTGTCAAGCAGGGGTAGAAGGGAGAGATCATATGTCCCCAGGGCAGGTTCCGAGCAGCCCTCCGCAGCATGGGATCAGGGGCTAGGTCACAGCTCTTCCTTCTCTCCGCAGGTATGATGCTCGCTTCAACGCCTGGCTGCACTTGGCCAGCATGCTGCACAAGAGGACTCACTTCAGTCTGAGCGCCTACAATGGTCTCCTCTACGCCATCGGCGGGCGCAACGCCGAGGGGGTCCTGGCCTCCATCGACTGCTACATCCCTTCCACCAACAGCTGGCAGAGCAAGGCCGGCATGGAGATCCCTCGCTGCTGCCACGCCAGCACGGTCATCGACGGCAAGATCCTAGTCACCGGGGGCTACGTCAACAACTGTTACTCGCGCACCGTGTGCAGCTACGAGCCCAGCACAGACACCTGGAGAGACCGGGCTGGGCTCAGCACCCCCCGGGGCTGGCACTGTGCTGCCACCTGGGCTGATCGTGCGTACGTCCTCGGGGGCAGCCAGCTGGGCCCCCGAGGTGAGCGGGTGGATGTGATCCCCGTGGAGTGCTACAATCCTGGCACAGGCCAGTGGAGCTATGTGGCGCCCGTGCCCACTGGGGTCAGCACGGCCGGGGTAACGATCCTCGACGGGCGCATCTGCCTAGTGGGAGGCTGGAATGAGAGTGGGAAGAAATACCAGAAGTGTGTGCAGAGCTACAACCCGGAGCTGAACGAATGGGCAGAGGAGGAGGATCTCCCCGAGGCCACCGTGGGTGTGTCCTGCTGCACCATCACCCTCCCGCACCAAGGCAGCAAGGGATCCAGGACTAGCTCAGCGGCATCGGCCGCGGTCAGCATCTAATGGAGGAGCCGGGGGCTAGCATTTCCGCCTCCAGCTGGGGACGCAGACAGAGCTCAAACCTTGCCTCAGATTGCAGGGGAGCTGAGATCAGAAAGCACCGAGAGCTGGGAACTAAGCAATGGCTCGTTTCACAGCGGTAGGAGAGCCTGTGGAGCAGCACAATCTAGCGGTTAGAGCAGTGTTTGGCGATCTTTGACACACAATCTAATGGTTAGCACAGGGCCCTGGGAGCTAGAAACGCCTGGATTCTTATTCCAGCTGTGAAACGAAAGCCCTCTATGGCCTTAGGCAGGTCACTAGCCCCCCTACACCATGGGTAAAATGACACTGACCGCCACTGGGAGGAAGCACTTCAAAGCTAAGAAGCCCTATGGACATGCTCAGCTTTAGCATTGTCTCTGCTCATCTCTATGTCTGATCCCCTCCCTCCTCAAGTCAGAGGCCTCCCATCTCTTCTCCAGCCCACCTGCACTGCAGTCAGGTGGGGAATGATGTGTGGCTGGTGGGGGTGGGTCCTTATCTGACCAATTAGGTGGCCGAGAGCTGCGGCCACCACTGGCAAAGCAACCTTAACGTCTAACCCCAGTGTTACCCAGCTAGACGTTGGCCTCCTGCGATGGACTGGTCCGTGAAGCCACTACAGAGTTTTCGCCTGCACCACAGGGCAGGGTGGGTGGCACATGGAACATCCCAGTGTGGCCAGAAAAGCCCATATCCCTTTCAGTGACATGGGTAGGCTCCATCCTGTCACACACACTATGGACTGCAGATCAACACAATCACAAGCAAACCCACCACCCTCAAGCAAGCCAAGCCCTAGCAAGACAATTGAGTCCCTATGCATACCGCCAGGGTTGCCAGATTCTTTCCATTCTCGCCCTGGTTTTGTCTCCCATCTAACCAGGGAAGTCAGTGAGCTCTGACAATGGGTCAGCGCATCCAGATCCTGCTGACGGTACCAGGTAATGGTCAGAGTATGTGACTCAACACAGGGCAGGCAAAGCCCCGCCGCCCCTCACTGGCTTCAACTAGAGCTTCAGGTTTCCCAGGAACATGGTCTGGCTCATTGTAGTCAGTCTGATGTCAGAAGAGAAGTTTCCCAAATCTGGTCATTGTTTAACCAAATTTATTCCCAACATTATGGAAAGGGAAGACACCTAATTCTTTAGGTAGCGGCATTTCAGATTGACGTGAGACCCCCGAACAAGGCATCTTTTAGCTGTAGACAATGGCTTAATTCTTTCATGCTGCAGGCTGTAACAAGGAGACAAGGTGGTTCCGTGGTTACAGTTGGCAGTCAGGAAATGTAACTGCTGTTGGGACTCAGTGAGTGACTTTGGGCCAGTCACTTCACTCTCCTCCTCCTGTTTCCCCTTCCGTAAAAGGGGGATCGTGGGAAGAACGACCCTCCCCCAGAAAGCAGTTGGAGATCTTCAGCTGGAAGATGCCATAGAAATGCAAATTGCCACCCCTCTCCTCCCAGCAAGCAGCCCTGCAACTCATGTCACCCCCTAACACAGCTAAAAGGTAAATAGGGTTTCCTCCCCTTCTTTCAACCTGTCATTTTTAGGAGTGGGGTTTTTTTTTTATTTTTGCTTTGTCAGGGTCAGAGTTAAGGTTAGAATGCTACTGCACCAACTCTGTCATTTCAGTTTGGAGTTATTCCACGGTGTCCTCAAATCTCCTTGTTCTATCAAGGCAAGTTTTGAGCTCTAGGGAAGCGTTTGACGGACTGTCTGCATTTCAGGCTGTGTGTCAAGGTGCCTATGAACGCCCGTCACTTTAACTCCAAACCATAGCTGCTAAGCAGGGCATGAGGCACTGAAGCATCCAGGAAGGAAAGGAGGATTTTGATCACCAATCTGGTTGCAGTATAGACTGTACCAGAGCTGGGTAAAAGAAAAACAAACAACAAAAGAAAACATACAAATAAACTGGAGTCACTTACAGAGAGATCCTATTACAGGGACCAGAGCTCAGAGAGCCGAGAAGCGTAAAAATGATGAGACACATAAAAATTACAGTAGTTACACCCTTCTACGTTAGCTAGAAGAAATAAATAAGCCTAAGAAAGAACACTGTGACCCTTGATATGTACCTGTTAAATCCGAGAAAATGTATTTATCTTAATAGTGTCAAGGGAAGTGAGTTGCTAGGGCACCAGACAATTAGAACAGATGTAAACAGACCTGTAATTACAGGGATACAAACCCTTTCCCTCCTCATCACTGCACTAGGGGCAAGTACCTACACAAACCTTAACCAGGAAGTCCAGTCTTCAATAATATTCACACACGGCGCGTTATAGTCACAGGCAGCAGTCAAGGGTTGCTTACCCTCAACCTAGCAACCTACACCTGGCCTCAGCCACTGCTCCCACTGTTAACACAACACCAGAGAACCTGGAATACGGAAAATTCTTAAAAATCAAAAGGAAGAAACATTTGGGTAGGACAATGGCACGGGGGGAGAATTTAATGGACGAGAAGTTTGCATTGTTGGATGAGAGGGTCTGTATATTGTGAATGCGTTTGGGAATGAGGGGGCAGGGTGTGGTTTAAAGGGCTGTACTGTGCTAACTCCTTGGTAGAGCTGTCACATTTCAGTTAAAAGCACAGAATTCACCCCCTACTAGAACTGTAATAGCCCCATAGTCCATTAAGCCATGCTGCCTACCAGAGAGCTGCAATGCAATGCTATAAGCTGGAGAGAGAGAGGCAACTTTCCACCCTCCTTCTATTAAGTAGCACTTTGAGTAGTGCAAGTGGAGCACTGGAACATGCAGCAGCACTGAGACGAGATTGATGCCTATTTCCTGGCCCCGGTCTAGGACGTGGATCATCCTGTAGACTTAGCTACTGCCTCTCGGGGAAGTGGATTACTTCCGCCGACAGAGAATGTCCCATCGGCCTAGGTTGTGTGTCTACACCGAAGCACTGCTGCTGTGCCACTGTAGCATTTCTATTGTAGACAAGCCCCATGTCTCTACTTAAAATGGTACAGCTGCAGTGCTTCAGTGTAGACACTCGCTACAGTGACAGAAGGGCTTCTCCCGTCACTGTAGTTAATCCACCTCCCTAAGAGGCAGTAGCTAGGTCGACAGAAGAATTCTTCTATCAACCTAGCACTGTCTACACCAAGGGTTAGGTCAGCTTCACTGTCTCTTGGTGTGTAGATTTTTCACACCCTTGAGACACACACATGCTGATGTAAGTTTTCAGTGTAGACTAGCCCCGAGTCTTGGGTCCTGTCTATACAACCATACAACCCATGGGGCAGCCAGCAAACGTCTCTGCGCCAGCCATTTTAAGTTTGGTCTTGTTTGTTCAGGCAGGCTGAAACCATGTTTAATGAACCACATTACACTCCTAAACCCTGGCCAGCCCTTTAAGGGAGTGCTGCTGTATTAAATGACACAGAGGGTCAGGGAAGGGACAGCCAAGATAGACATGCAGAATAGTAAATTTAACTGCCCTTGGTCATTTTTTCAACCCTAGCTGCCAGATGGTGCAGGTGCCTCTGATGGGTTTTCAGTGGAATTTACACTTCAGTTAAGAAATGCATTGATTGCCGATAAGAATTGATTATTTCAGGGAGAGTTCACTCTAACAAGCATAAACCTATTTAAGGATCGTGGAAGCTCCAGGGCCATAACGTCAGTTGAAGAACAGCTAAACCACTTACCATACGTTTGTTTCTCTATCAACCAAACGAGCCACTCCACATTTTTCCTTTCACAACTCTGTTGCTGCCAGCATTGGCTCAGTTCACGAGTTACAACACTGACGACAATGCTTTCCAGGGTACGTAGAAAGACAATCTTCCAAAGGATCTGATGGGCGTCAAGCCAATGTATTTGATAAGCATCGAGCCAATGTATTAGTTACCAGTAGTACAGAGCAAGTGGTGCCCAGGAGTCCGAGTCAAGCGTTTGCCTCATTTGTGAGCTATTCACTGTTTCGGGGGCACTAGAGCTGGGAAAGAATTTCTAATGGGTACAGAGAAGCTGCAAATAGGCATCAGGGAGTGTTTGACTCTACCTGTATGAACTGCATTGTCTTGAAGAGAACGGTATCTATGAAATAGAATAAAAGATTAACACCACAAGCAGTAACTTGTCTGGTACATGCATTACTGTACTGTGAAGCTGTAATATTCCCAGTACACTGGAGAGAAGAAAAAACTGGCCAAAACACCCATTTGAGACATTGAGGATTCTTTCCTCCTAAATATTTATACATTTTAAAGCCCATATAAGAGTAATCGCTCTTGCCAAGCATATAGAACATTTTATCTGGGGACTGTCAGAATACCAAAAACAGGTTGCCTGGTGCACGAGTACAAGGCAGAACCCCTAGATTCTATTCCAGCAGCTGTGCACCAGGTGAGCTAAGGTGAGGGATGCTGGATTCTCAGGCCAGCTGAAATAAGCTCCAGCTATTTGTGTCTGGATCTTCAGCACCCTCTGGTGGTAACTAACAGCATCGGATGCTGGTTCTTAACTGAGTGCACAACAATTAGCAAACAGCTCCAGAGAGCAAGCTCTTAGCCACCCCTTTTGTGGGGCTTATAAGCACTTGATAGGGGATGTACTAGCTCCTCTAATCAGAGTCCCAGTTAAGAATATATTATGGTTGTTTAGTCATCAAGCCTCAGCCACCTTTAGTCCCTACCACTTGCGTTCTTGCCACTTTGGACAGAGGCAAATCCAGCACGTCTCATTTGGTCTCCCCATTGCCTTTGTATTGAAATGGATGTTTTGGTCCATGAGCAGAGAAACTATTCATGGTTTCATCCAGTGGTCGAGAGTCCCAAGTGGCACTAACCTCAACAGCACATGCTGGGAGGTCTTTTGGAATCAGATCATGTAGGTTAGATTTTATTTTGTCCCTACTGGGAGCTATAGCTCAGTCCCTAAATGCTTCACAAACCTTGCTCTAGTTCTACTTTCACACTGTCTAGTTGCCCATCCTCTGCCCATGGAACTAGGTTTTAAATCTTATCCGTAGCTTCCCCTCTTGGCCAGCACAGAAATGGAGGGGAGTTCTCTTCATTCACACCGTGGTTCTACCATCTGCTCCTTATGGACAGGAACTCCCATTCCACGAGCACAGCACTGACTGGCCATCTCTGCTGCACAATGCATCCGCACCAGTGGGGGGGTCTGCTCTCCTCTCCAGTTTGATCGGCTTCAAGTTCCAGCAGCTTATGGTGAGGAGGGGCGAGGAGCCAGCCATAAAATGCACAACAGGAAGTTAAATGTTAGAAAATTTTATTAGCATTTTTGGTAACTGGAACTGCTCATTTGCCAGGAAGGATGATGCCATCGTACTGCAAGAGAGAGAAAAGGGAGTGTCAGAAATCAGGGCCAGTCAGAGCTGTGGTTGTGCCAAGGAGGAGACTGGAGTCACCACTTATTTCAAGTCACAGATGTGACTTAGAGTAAGACTCCAATCATCCAAATTTACAGTCTGCAAAGTGAACATGGAAACTGACTTTCCATCTTGTTTTCTGTTTTTTAGTGTTCCTTTAATAGTGATCGGTCAGATCAGTTTGACCCAAAAGACTTAGGTTGTTAAAATGAAGCTTTTTACAAAAGCTAAGTGCACAAAAAGTTATTCCCAGGAATGCATTTCCAATGAAAGGCTTTAAAAAACTGGACTGCCTAGAATTCTGTTTGCAAGCCAGACTTGGCAGCAGAGCAAACCAGGAAGTAAAACAACCTCTGAACAAGTGAAAACTAGTCTCTCTGAAGGACTTACTCTTTGCACCTTAGCTTTAGCGGCAGGAACGTTGTAGGAGGCTGACCCTGCAAATGCTTACTCCCACAAAATTACTATAAATTTCAATGGAAGGAGGTTTTGCCCAAGCGAAGAGCTCAGGATCTGGTAATAAGGGGGATTCAATCTCAATGATATGAAGTGTTAATTAGATGAGGAAGTCCCCTCTCCTCGCTGAGAAAAAGATTTAATCTGACTGGGTTCATAACAGGTCACTGGGCTTTGGGGCATATGTGAGCATGTTAACTGGAAGCTGTAGTCACAGGAGACATGCTCAGGAATGGGCAAGCACGTGGCCTTACAGGTAGCCAGAGAAGGCCACATGCCTCTTAACAGGGGCAGTACACAGAAGATCTTCCAGGGGTCAGGGAAACTCAGGAATGGGTCTCTCCAGAGCAGCTAGAAAAGGGCTAATGAGATGGTGAAAGGAGGTTTGTTCTTCCCCTTTCCAGCTGCAGAAAGGTCTCCATTACCAAATATATCACATTATTGAACATTTCTGCATCTTGTTTATTAATAAACCTGTCGTGAGAAAATGGACATGGAAGTGAATTCTAGTATTGAGGTTTCATTTAGACAGTCCTGGCCTGCGAGTCTGCCCACGGCTTACAGGCAGTCTTTAAAGTACAACTCTGTTGAATAGCTGAACTTGCTTCTACCATGGTCTAGATGCTTCGGGTCAAAGACATTCAAAACGTGCCCAATAGTTTGTAAACCAGGTAGGTGGTCTTGTTTGCCCACAGCTCAGTGAGAATGAATCCATTAGAGGACAGCATGTTGTAGGGCAGCGGTTCTCTAACTGTGGGTCATGACCTCATTTTAATGGGGTCCCCAGGGCTGGCTTAGAGTTGCTGGGGCCCAAGGGCTTCAGTCACTCTGCCTGGGGCTGAAGCTCTTGGGCTTCAGTTTTGGTCCCCGTGCACAGGGCAGTGGGGCTTGGGCTTTGCCCCCCTCCCTCCCGGGCAGGCTCAGGCTTCAGTCCCCGCTCCTGGGATTGTGTAGTCATTTTGGTCGTCAGAATGGGGTCACAGTGCAGTGAAGTTTGAGAATCCCTGTTGTAGGGTAAGTTAAAGGTGACCTGCACAACGACAGAACTGGATTTGGAAGCCTTTCTGCCTCTTTATGGTGGATAAAGACAGCACAAGAGGTTTCTCTCGAGAGGCCTTTAGGCTGCTTTACAAGCATCACGTCTAGACTTCCTGGGTTTGCTAGAGTTCACGCCTCAATGGAATGTTGAAACTCCTATGAAGCTTTGCTCACAAGCGTTTGCCAGAAGTTACTAACAAAACCCACAATATTTAGACAGCGATTAGAAATCCTGCCTGCTCAATTGGAGACATCAAGCGTAACAGTTCTACTCCCTCAGCACGGACAGGGAAGACCCAACACTGCTCACGTAAAAAGGCAGCACGCTTCTCAAGTGGAAAAAAACAAAGCAGTTTTCCCCTTTGCAGGTCACATCTATTACATGAATCCTTGGGCCTAGTCCCTGGAACTAGAAGTCAGGGTTCAATAACTTTCGGCCTAGGCCACCCAACATGTGGAACAGAGTCTACGTGCCATGGGGCCTATCCCAACCACAGAAATGTAAGCGAGAAATTGAACTTCGACCCCCATTTTGTAGAATTGTTTTAAACAATTAAAAAAGACGTGAATGGCATTACTCTACTATATACAGACCAGCCAGCAGGACAGATCCTATTCACTGCACAACGCACCTCCTCACCAGCCTTGTATACATATTTCTTTCGCAGCAGCAGTCACAGAAGCTGCTCCTCTGATACGGTAAGAGCCTGGGAAGTGGGACCAGCAGCAGTCCACGGGAATCAGGATATTGGGACTGACCCAACTGTAGCCCATCTAATTTGCTGTTTCCTTTGAGTGTGTCTACTGCCGCAGATTTTCAATCCCCAGGGTCAGATTTGTAGTTGTCTACCTGGGGATCTTGGTACTCTGCTGCTGCCGTCCCCCTTCTCCCCCCACCACACACCCAGATTGTGGAGATAGCAAAACATCTTAGGGAACAGGGACTAGTAGAAGAGTATTCTACTTCTGGAATTCACCAGACTGCTGTGAAACCTGCACCAAGGACTAGCCTTCAACAATCCCCTGCTTAAATGCTTTATAAGCAGATTTGCTTAGGAGGAGCTTTCTTGCAGTCCAGGCGCAGTTCTTTATGCTTCAGGTTTCCACCACAAAAGGAGGAAAGCTAAGGAGTGAAAACCCTTCACTT